AATCCACGTTTAAATTTGAGTATGGAGTCTGGTGGGTATCATTCGAGTTTGGTTACGCTTTTTGGTAGATACATGTAGACGGGTATGCCTAGTTTGGCGTATAAGTATGCAGAAACATCAAAGTAATGAACCGTCATATTTTTGTATGTAGCTGTGGCGAAGAGCGAAGTGCTACGGAGGAGGCGGCGGGTGCGCACGTCTTGTTGGTCGAGTGATCACGCGAACCTTGAAAATAATAATAATAATAAAATTCATAGCGTAGCCGTCAGGAAATTGAAAAGGTTTTAGGGTTTTTGGGTGGAGGTTTTTTCATAGCCCCTTGAAAAAGAAACAGGTTTTTTTGACATGTTTCTCGAGTTTCTTTTTCCGGGGGGTCACATATGGTTTTCTGATTTTTGAAATGTGTAGGGATAATAATATGTATTTTAAAAATGTGTAGGGATAATATTGTTCATTTCAAAGGTTAAGTTACAATGTTTGTACATATGGTATGGCTCTCATAGCCGTTGTAGTGGTTCGGGGAAGATCGATGGGAAGAAGTGGTCAGTAATTTCCCTGTTGAAGCTTGGACCAAGTGATTCGACAATGGAGGATATGCGCTGGGTCAATTCAGGCCAGTGGTGACAAAAAACTGACACCATCGAGTGTGCCACGTATTCTCTTTCTGACCTACTAAATAGCGTACCCACCTCTGTGGTTCGGATCGGGTCTTTATCGTGTAGTGCTGTGGAATGGGTTAGTGAAGAATACGAAATGCCAAGTAGGACCAGGTTATCCGTCATAATTCGGTTGAGGAGGGAGGTTGGGGGTGAACCGATGCCGCACCAGACCACGGATGCACTCGGTATGTGCTGGTTTGCCTGTATTGGAAGTATCAAAGGCGGAACCAACAGGCGCGATGAATTGGTTTGGACCAAAATTTGGAAGTAGTACTTCAACAGTGTGATTAGCCGGGGTATAGGAAATATCTGTTGATATGTCAGAGACAGGTGTGGGTACAGAGGTTGTTCTACATGCTGGGGAATAGATCCAAGGTGTTCGTGAGGGTCCAGATACCATGGAAATCATGGCACTTCTGTAGTTGCTGGAGGAGATCAGGGCCAATGAGAGGCAGTTTTGAGCCTACCAGGATGCATTGGATCAGTTGCTGAATGCAGGCAATGTGGCTGGTGGTGAATTTTTGGCCACCGGGGCAGACAGGGCAGAGACAGTCGTCAGTGCGGTAGTCGAGCAATGTGAATATGTAAACATTTATTACAATTATAGCACAGAGCCGGATTGGTGTAGGCTCGAAGCAGCGGTTAAAGCTGTCGTGTCGGGCTTTGTCCCGATCTGAGGTTGGCGGTTTGCCCATGACCAATTGGTAGTAGTATTGACGCCGGGCCATTGCGGCGATCTCCTTGTTGGACCAGCGTTTCATTGAATTCTTTCTATTGTCGTCACATTGTCGGTGGAGGGCTACATGTTCTGGTGTACGCCCGTCCGTAGTTTTGTATACAGTCTTCAAGTGGGCATACTACGGAAAGCGCGGTGTTGTCGTGGACCCAGGCGGGTTGCGTCAGAGGGGTGAGTGGGTTTGTGCTAGCCATTGAGTCGAGTTGCAGTCCCAGGCAACCTCCGAGGTAGTCCGCGAATGCTCGCGTGGGGAGCAGGCCACAAAAAAATGGAGTTGGTTTGATGTTTGGGAAACCTAGGGTGTTTGGTGCCCGTGATGATGGCTGCTGCTCGAATGAGTGCTGAGTTATGGCGCTCAAACAAGGGGTCCAGCGCATCCTTCCATATAGGTGGAGCCCATGCAATAATGTTCAGGCCATATGTAGCCGTGGATAAGATGAATGTTTTGAACAACACCAGCCTGGTGCTAGGGTGTCGCCAGCTGAAGCCATGGAAACCATAAGCGTGGAAAGAGGCGATACCCAGAGACAATGCTGTAACCAGGGATTCCATATGTGGGAAACCCAGGTGTTTGGAGAGTTTAGGCTTAACATGTGTTCTAGGTGACATGTGTTCCAAGGGGCATCTGCAAGTATCGGCGTCATAAGCTCACCATTTATACGGAGGGTTGGCGCCGCGTGTCGCAAGTTGGTAGATCGTACTCGGGGTTTGATGACACCATGTTTGAGGCCAGATTCGCGTCCCCAAGCATCAATGTCGTCTAAAAAGGGCTGGAGCGAAACCAGTTGGGGGGCTTGGATTCGTGTGTCATCGACAAATAAATAAAAGCGGAAAAGCTTGGGCCGAAATTGTACTAGTGTGACAGCCAAAAAAAATCCATGTAGATAATAAAGAGCTGGGAGCCAACGATTGAGCCTTATGTGATGCCATTTGTTCTATGAAATACATGCGAGAGCATGCTGCGGTATGTCACTCGGGTAGGGACCCTCTCAAATAGCGCGCGGAGGCAGTTGATCCGGTTTTCGGGCATTCCAGCGTGGCGCAAGAGTATCCACAGGCGCGGGAGAGCAACCTTGTCGTATGCCTTGGTAATGTCCAGACATACGCCGTTCCACTCTTCTTTCGACTGTGTCTTAGATTCCATGGTGGCGAGTGCTTTTGTGGCACTTGAAATTTGAAAACGAATTGGAAGGAGAGGGTGGGAGAAGCCCAAACGGACTCTTTTAGAGGGCATTTTAGAGGTATTTTTAAATGATATAATTGATACGGCATTCATTTATTTGTGTACAGTTCTTCGGTCCATAGTATGTCTTGTGAGCAGCTTCAGTGTATATATAGTAATATATATATAGTAAGTAGTAAAGATATAGGATCGAATGGAGGTGTTATCGGATCTTGAATTGGAGTCAGATCATGAGTACGATGCTGGCCCCCTCCACTTTCTAGAAGAAGATGACGATGTTCTTGAAGATCAGCTGTCCGGTGATGATCTCTTGATCTTAAAAGAGGTAGACGAGATGTATGCAGATACACCTCCACCTGAGCTTGATAAAATAAGTGCGGAACTATCGGAGGAAGTTTTTGTTCTTGGAAACGCCCTCTGCGATATAAAACTTATCCCGCTGAAGAAGAAACATTATTGTTTCCGTGCCTTCATGCGCTACTACTCGAATGCTGTGCTTATAGTTCATCCCGCTATTATGAAAAGAAAAAAAAAGTGGAGTAAGTTTTAGTCACAAGATGCAGTTCGTTGGTGAAGAAGAAACTCTAATCACCGCGCGGAAGGTCTTTTTTCAGCGGCGTTTAGTACGCATATTTCCAGTCCCACCTCGCATCAGTCGTCGTGTAAAACTTGTATGTGTATATTGTTGCGATCAAAACTACGTTAAGACCGGAGATACTTTTTTTTACCGGCAAAGGTGAAACAACAAGCAAAACACATTGTACAGATTTATAGGCAGGGCTACTATTCTGATCCACCTGGAAAACGCATGTACTTGGCAAGGATAAAGATGGTTTATATCTATATGGATACAGGCGCGGTATGTACGAGTGGTGGGGAGGGTGCGTGATACCAATAGTTTAATCGTAGGTTTGGGATGTATTGAGTGGTAAGTAGAGCGATATGATCCTATCAAGCTTTGTAACATTGCAGAATTATCGGATCATCGGTGTGGAAAATCGAGGGTTGTTGACTGCAAACATCGCGACCTTGCCTTAGAAGATACAATTGCATCTGCTTACATGGAGCTTACAAGAGATGTATATAAAATAGATAATGTGCCCTGAAATTTAGCTAGTAACTTATTGAATATTGGCGAATCAACTGGAATATCGAGTATTTGGCATATGACAGACCAGCCTTAACTAAAGAACACTGAAGAGCGGTTGAAGGTTTCAAAGCTTACGCCAGATCGTACCTACGTTGCTAGCACGCAAGAACTTTCTACAAGTTTTGTTGGAACTTCCGATGCACGTATATTGCTATAATGATATGTTTTCCAAAGTGGCACTTGATGACACGTGTTATATTACCGAATACTCTCAGCACGTGATAACCCGCTGAGAAATGGGGCATGAAGAATGATCCCCCCTAGCCAGCCAACTATATGTGTCCGTCTATGCCTTCAATGGGATGGAGAGCTAGGTACCTTGTGATGGGGTATTGGTGCAGATATTTAACTGCACCAACAGGGTGTTTTTGATTTCTTAAAGTTGGACTTAGAGTTATTACTGCGATTGGAGAATAGTTTCGACGCATGAAACGATAAGAGAATAAAATATCGTGCATCCGATGAAATTAAATCTGATCTTAGTTACTGACACCAAATAAGTCTAGACCGAAGTACTGAGCGATTAGAGCGGAGCATATAGACAATAGCCTCAGTCTAAAATCCTCTACTTTTTAGCTCAGTATATAGGGCTGAAGCTACACTTAAATTGTAATAGCCGGGCCTCCACATTAGACTTTATGTTATAAAGGTACTCTTAAAAAGTACGTAAACTATAAACGCACTTTTAATAGTACAAGGAACTTAAGTTTCCTAAATGGTTTTTGACGGTTTTATTAATTAATACCTTTTCCATTTTACATATCAGATATTTGGACAAGGCCATTAAAGGGCCCCAGTAAAATACCAAACCTAAGATTTGGTCTAGTTCCATTAATAGAACTATATTTACTTTCCAAATCTATTTATATCTGAATACTTCGGTAGCGAGATGGCTCAACCGAATATAGGTTTCTAGGGACTATTAACGTTCCCTAGTTGATCCTCTGATCAGCCAACCAGATGTGCCAGTCTGATGAAGGCTAAGTCGGTAATTCTTGATAAGTGGCAAGTTATTGGTTAAGACAATAACTAGGGACATAAAGAGTATTTTTCTTTCTTTCTTTTTAATGGTTTTATTAATTAATACCTTTTCCATTTTACATATCTTTGGACGAGGCCATTAAAAGGCCCCAGTAAAATACCAAACATAAGAGTTGGTCTAGTTCTATTAATAGAACTATATTTACTTTCCAACTGTATTTATATCTGAATACTTCGGTAGCGAGATGGCTCAATATAGGTTTATAGGGTCTATTAGCATTACCTAGTTTAACCTTCGTTCAGCCATCCAGATGTGCCAGTCTGATGAAGGCTAAGTCGGTAATTCTTGATAAGTGGCAAGTTATTGGTTAATGCACTAACTATGGACATCAAGAGTTTTTTTTCTTCTTATTTTTCTTTTCTTTTCTCTGAAGATAAGATTTTATGAGTCTCTCGGATTCGCCCCAACGATACATACCATAGTTTCTAATAGAGCGACAACGAAACTCTAAATAAAATCCCTTCGGCGAAAACAGTGCTGAGAGGATTATATATAGGCAATGTCTCAGCCTCACAGTGCCTCAGAGTATTGCTGTTTTCACGAGGCATACCTAACTTTACCAAAAGATTCATTTCGTTTATTTACTTCGAATTTCACGATACTTTGACTTAACCTAAGCGTTTAATTACTCTAAGGCGTTAATATCGCCTTGATCGACCGAATCTTACAAAATTACATTGTTCAAATTTACTTCTATATCGTACTTTCTTTCATTACAGTGGCTGAGCCGTATCGCAAGATTGTGAAAGACGTATTCTGTATAATATATGGTAAGAGTTTGAATTCGTGCAATGAATTTATCCCACTGTTTTGCGTGAGGACGAAGGGGGATCAATACGGCGCCAATGGTTCTGGTAGAAATGACGCTGTCGATAAACTCTGAGGTATCTGACTAAATAGGATTAGCGTACGCTTTCTTTTTAAGCCAATCAGTCTTACGTTGATCTGTGGCAATGTTGCCACCGGATGGACTGGCAACGTGGTAAGTGAGTCGTACGTTATGATGTGAACAAGTCAACAGTCGGATCAAAGTTGATGCGGGCCATGTCGTTTTGAATTCGGCAGTGCTTATTATACATTATTCGGTGGACAATCATCCGACAGGTAGAATTTGGGTGGGGATGATAACTTTCTTTGCGACCATATTGAGTGTGGTCGTGGAATTAGACATAAGTTTGTATGATTGATGGAGTCGTAGGAAACGGTTCAGGAGAATAATCAGTAGCTGGCGCTACGGGAGGCTGTAAAATCCGGGCCTCCACATTAGAATCTTGTATTATAAACGTACTCTTAATAGTACGCAAAACGTACTCTTAAAAGTAAGTAAACTCTTTAATGGTTTTTAACGGTTTTTATTAATTAAATATCTTTTCCATTTTACATATCAGATATTTGGACAAGACCATTAAAAGATCCCAGTAAAATACCAAATATAAGATTTGGTCTAGTTCTATTAATAGAATTATACTTAACCTTCCAAATCTATTTATATCTGAATACTTCGGTAGCGAGATGGCTCAACCGAACATAGGTTTCTAAGGACTATTAGCGTTGCTTAGTTTATCCTCCGTTCAGCCAACCAGATGTGCCAGTCTGATGAAGGCTAAGTCGGTAATTCTTGAGAAGTGGCAAGTTATTGGTTAATGCAATAACTATGGACGTCAAGAGTATTTTTCTTTATTCTTTTCTTTTTTTCTAAAGATAGGATTTTATGAGTCTCTCGGATTCGCCCCAACGAAACATACCAAAGTTTCTATTAGAGCGACAACGAAACACTAAATAAAACCCCTTCGGCGAAAACAGTACTGAGAGGATTACATATAGGCAATGTCTCAGCCTCGATTATTAGCGTTGCTTAGTTTATCCTCCGTTCAGCCAACCAGATGTGCCAATCTGAGGAAGGCTAAGTCGGTAATTCTTGATAAGTGGCAAGTTATTTGCAATAACTATGGACATCAAGAGTATTTTTCTTTATTCTTTTCTTTTTTTCTAAAGATAGGATTTTATGAGTCTCTCGGATTCGCCCCAGCGAAACATACCAAAGTTTTTATTAGAGCGACAACGAAACACTAAATAAAATCCTTCGGCGAAAACAGTACTGAGAGGATTACATATAGGCAATGTCTCAGCCTCACAATCCCTTAGAGTATTGCTGTTTTCACGAAACATACCTAACTTTACTAAAAAAACTCATTTCGTTTATTTACATTGAATTTAATTATACTTCGACTTAACCTAAACGTTTAACTACTCTAAGGCGTTAATATTGCCTTGATAGACCAAAACTTACAAGGCAGGACAGGTGTCGTTGTACGCACATGTGGTGGTGACGGACAAGTTGCGGCTGCCGTCTAGTTTGGGTACTGGTGTGATGGGTGTGACCCGCGCGGCTGATGCCGTGAGAGCAAGTTTTGTTACTTCAGTATCAATCAACTTATGCCCCCATTGAGTGCTTGGTATGGTAAGAAAAATTGTGCCATTGGAAAAGTCATGTGACGTTGTGTGCCCCTTGATGTATATGTCGTAGCCACTGTCATGAAATTTATATTGAGTGATTAATTGTTGTTTGACTGTTGGCCTTATATACGTAATACCAAGTTGTGGTAGTCGTCCGCGTTCTGTGACCATGCATTCGCTGATGTCGACGAGCAGAAGTGGAAAGCGCCAGCCTCCATGTTGAAATGAATATAGGACGACTAAGGATATAGTAGTGGTAGCCTGGGTAGAATGATCGGGGTTGCCTGTTGGTATAAGCATTAATACCCTCGATAGCTTAAAAAAGTACCTCTAGCATCACTATCAGTTATTTTCTCTAAAAGCACTAAGGGTTTATAGCCCACATAGCCTCATTGTAGATAAGCAGTTGTATGTGAGCCCTGCTAATACTTCAATAGCTATAAAGAAAGGTCCTCATGAAGGAACGTTATAAAAGAAAACGACATTGAATTTTGGAGATTGGCGGGAGGACCAAAATCATCAGGACAAGCAATATAACTAGTTACAGAACCGTGATTTGGGAAGTAAACATGTCTGATTGGAAAGATATGACTAAATCTGAGTTCTTGTTTTGAGATAAGACTGAATATGGGTTGTTGCTTGTTGTAAAGGAGTATATTGTGTTGAGACGAATTTTACCCTAAAACCGAGGGACCCATAATATATTACCGCTAATAATTTGGCCGAATAATTGTCAGAATATTTTAGGGGCAAATGGTAGTTATTATATTCTATAGATAGTTTACACTATTGTAATACATTAATTTTACGCAGGAAAGGTAAGCAAAATTAGAAATGTGTACATTGTAGTAAGAAAAGGATATATTACAAAATATGGACGCAATTCATCATATTATTTTAT